GAGAGAGAGAGAGAGAGAGAGAGAGAGAGAGAGAGAGAGAGAGAGAGAGAGACGATAACTTTCCGACCTCGCGGCTCGCGCCATGCTACTTCCATCGATAGGATGAGCAACATCCAATGAATCGGAGCGCTGTATCTTCCCGGCCTTGCGCTGCGGCTTCGGATCCGCCACACGAGCGCTGTATCTTCCCGGCCTTGCGCTGCGGATTTGGATCCGCCACAGGCCGCCACAGGGGAAAAAAAAAGCATGCACAGAAAAAAAAAGGGAGCGCTGTATCTTCGCGGCCTTGCGCTGCGGATTCGGATCCGCCACAGGCCGCCACAGGAAAAAAAAAAAAAGCAGGCGCTGTATCTTCATGGCCTTGCCATGCGGATTCCGATCCGCACCGGTTCGCAAAAAAATTGATCGCGGCCTCGCACCGGTTGGGAAAACCTCGAGTGCGGGAGCGGTCCCGCGTGGCGGCGCCCGGTTTCTGTTGGGTGCGTCACGCGAGACCCGCTTCTTGCTTTATAGTATTAGAGATAAAATTTAAATTAAAAAATATTTTTTATTTTTTAAAATTTTAATTTCTTTTTGGCCCAGCCGGGCAAGTGGACCCGGGCCAGTCTGGTAGCCTAGGTTACTAGACATCCCATTTTCCCATTTTTCACTTATTTTCCAAGATTCAGGCGGAAAGAGGTGCTTTAGTTCACCTTGTTCACTCTTGTTAGTTTCATCCATGCGTGTGTCCCCCCTAGATACAGAGGTGCATCTAATTTGCTGCTTTCTGCCTCTTCTCCTCTTTTTTTCTTTTTAACACTTTGTTCCTTCCCTCCCCTGAGTCCCTCTGCTCCCCGCCCTTATGTTGCTTCCTGCACCTTGTTCCCCTTGTTCACTCTTGGTTTCATCCACGCTTCCCCCCAGACACACAGGTAGATCTAATTTTCTTCTTTCTGCCACTTCTCCTCTCTCTTTTTTAAAGTTTTTTTTTGTTTTTGCACTCTGTTCCTTGAACTTCCTTCCCTCCCCGGAGTCCCTCTGCTCCCCCGCACTATGTTGCTTCCTGCCACTGCTTTGCAGATGGGTAGCCATCAACATCCACACAAAGTGTGTGCACCGATCCGTGTGCGTTTCAGAGAACAAGGTCATCCAACCTACCCCTCAATTGCTTGCTTAATCCTTCTTCATTCATGCCATAATATTTTCATGGCGACCATCATCATCGTTGTCGTCATCAAAGCATGACATGGAATTCTTTTTTTTTGCTTTGTTGATGAACATACCTGGCCAACTGTAGAATCTGATTAAAATTTTAAAGAATCTTTGCAATATCCAAGTTCACCCAGTGTTTGTAATACTCTGCATGCATGTAGTTTATTGCAGAATCCTTTTGCATTGCCATCGGTTTGCGAAATTCTTTTGCATGGATGCTGTTATGCCTCTCTTGTGTGGGAGGAGGAGCAGGTGGATGTGTTTGTCAAGCAATACGGTATCGTATATGATGATGATGATGATGAGAAAAGACAACACTGTACGCATTAGGAGGGAGTTCTCCTTCTGTTTCTTTTTCTTTTTTTTTTTGTGCTGAGTGTGTATGGTTTTGGGATCGTGATGATAGTGATGATGGAGTGTGGGGGGGATGTGTTGGTACTCTGCTCTGCCGCATCTGCAGGTGACAGCTGATAAAAGGCCTGCGAACAGTGCTCTGGAAATCGAGATGGACTTCGAGCATGCAAGGCGACCGCCGCCGGTGATTACAGAGGAGGTTACTCGCTCGATTGAGGACATCATCAAGCAACGGATCATCGAGGTGAGTGTTATTTTCTGTTTCAGTCGATTGAAACCTGAGAGCACGCTCTCTGCTGTGTGACCTTAAGCAAACTCGTTGGCAGTGGAGTGCTCTGCTGCCAACTTGGGAGCACTCTCTTTGTAGAGAATTTGCACTTTTCTGGTGAGGTTTGGCACGAGAAGATGTGCAGAAGTCTCATACAGGTCTCAAAGAAATTTCACAGAACTTGACAGAAGTTGGTGCGAGGCTACGCCCGCTTAGCCCCTATGGGGCCCTATCTGCAACAAGGTCGGCCGCCCTAAGTGAAGGCAGGCACGACAGGCCCTTCAGGCCTCACTCTTCAGGGTACCCCACAACGGGGAAATTCAGACAGTTGCATTGCGCCAGTTGGTTGAATGAATCCAGGCCCTGGGCCGCCTGTGTAAATGAATGTGCAGCAGGCCCTGGGCTGGATACGGGTACCAGGCCAAACACAGGCCGAAAGCAGTTGGGCGCATGCAACCACTTCAGGCCCCAGGCCTGCTCCCTTCGTGACTGGGCCTGTGCCTACCGGGGCCTACCGGAAGTTTCCTGGACTGGACGCAGGCAGGCCACTTCGATATAGGGAAGGGCCTGCCTCCTCATTCGGCATTCGGGTGCTGGCTGCATGCTGCGTGAGCGCTGCTGCGCAATCCGCTGGCTGGCTGGCACTCACGCTCTCACGGGCGAGTAGGGAGGGAGCACGCAGCCATAGCCAAGCTGCGCTGCTGTATGCTAGGTGAAGCGCAGGGTGGTCCTTGGGGTGCTAGTGGCATCTGTGCGGTGTGGATCGGGGTTGTGAGTGTAGCGCAAGACATACCTGGTGCTGAAGCATGCGACATTGGTCGCCATATGCTCGTACTTCGGGAACGCTGTTGATGTCATCATTCTGCTTCGTACTATAGGCTAGATAGGATCTGCCACMTGTAGTCTGGGCGCCGAGCGCCAATAGGATATCAACTCTGGTTCTTCGTTGATGATGATGGGACTACTTCAGCATTGTCAATTTTGAACTCTTGGTGTGTTCTTATTTGGTGTATCTCGTGATGCCAGTCTGCTGTGGTACGAGGTCAAGACTATCTGGGCTCATATGTATGATGCTGTTTGATTGCCAAAGTTCGCTAATGCTCATCTTCCTTGCATTGGCTTCTTACTCACATAGAGCTTCTGTGTAGATATAATAATAGTGATGATGCATGGCCATTGGTAGACAAATGGCTTTTGTAACGAAAGCCAGGAAGGAAATGCGTAGTTTCTTTTGCCAATGCTCGAGCATATGCTCCGAGCATCCTGTCGCTTACGGCTGGAAATGGTTACTTCACTCTTCCTATGGACAATTCGGAGTCCCCTTGAACAGCCCGCTACTGGTAGCGGCCCTGAGAGAGTGACGACTGAGCACTCTGTAGGTATACACAGAGGGGTGGAGGAGGGGGGGAAGAGGGGGGAGGTGAAGGGGGGGGCATAGGTACCAAGTTGTCACTTTGTCATGCCTGGTATGCCTGATTGGTTTGTCCGAACCAATCAGGCGGGGGAAGAGCTAGCTGGAGAACTTAATTTTTGGACCTCTCCACTTTGACGACTTTTTTCAGTTCTCGTCTTGTCCGACAGAAAACTATGGGGAAAAAAAAAACTAAATGAGAGGTAGGCGAGGTGGCACTTTGTTTCGCGAAAAAAATAAAATAAAAAATTATTACAACGAATCAATACAAGCCCTGCCAAGAGGAACTCTAGCAGGCACTGAATTGCTTATGGTTGGCCCCCCCTGCTGTTTTACGTGGTAGGCCCAAAATTCCCAAACCAATCAGGCTTGGAAGGCCATGGTCTATTAGTAGCGTATTAGTGTTATCTCTGACATCGATGTTTGTCGCCAGGGTCAGACTTCATTTTCTTTCGTTCTCTTTTCTCTTGGTTGTTAAACCACCACCACCTTTCAAAAAGAAAATGAAGTCTGAATGGGACACGAAGTTGTGAATATAACCTATACCACATTCTTTGGAGGCCGGCGGAGGGCGCTTTCTGGACCAAAAAGGCTGGCGACACCAGCCAGCCTGCGAGTCTATGCTCCAGCGCTGCCGCCCGCAAGTGCAAGTGCCCGAATGCCGACCTCGGAGCCCAGCCCTTTCCTATATGGAAAGTGGCGGGCGAATCACCACCCGCTTGCGCCACGAGGCCAAGTTCCCCAGTAGCTTCAGTCTCGGCCAAAGTGTCTGCCCCCAGACCTGTTCAGACAGTGGCCTGGGAGTCTGTGACCGAATTGGTTAGGCATGCCCAACCGCTCAGGCACAAATATGCGGTGCTCCAAGTATCGACCACGTTGCTGGAAGAGCCTGGAAGCCTCGCACATATTTCTGATTCTCACGAGGAAAGCGGATGTAACCAACTGGCGCGTGGCAACTGTCTGGCGCCCACCAAGATTTGCAAACAATGACGAGTTCAGGGCACATTGAGATTCAGGGGGGGCCTGCCCTTCACTTAGGGCGGGCTTGCGCCTGCTGCAGGGCCTTATGCGCCGAGGGGCAAACCCTCACATTTATGTCAGATGAAGTTTACAGTCAGCAAAGACGGCAGACTTGCAGTGATAAGTTAGCGCCTTGAAAGATTACCGGTTGGG